CTTTTAAAACAAAATCCAAACAATCGTAAAAATCTTGCAATGCTCATGTCATTTGACCAACATGGTACAATACTGATATGCCTTTCACAACATATTATGAAATAAAGAGAAAAAAAAAGCTGACAAACACACAACAAAAGTAACAAACAAAAAATTTGAAAAAAAAAATTTATTTAACCCTATTTACCTACAATGAGGTAAATTAATCATGAACTCAGGTCATACAGCTGTACTCAATTTCTGTCTGCTTATTGCAATGATATTTCAAATTTGTCATGAGAATATAAAACAGCTTGAAGAGACCTGTTTCCTGTCATCCAGAAAATAAATAGCCCAAACAACACAATGATTCTGTAATGTAGGATTCAATAAAGTTATGCCTGTTTTAAGATACATGTACTGTATAAAGTTTAAATGACATAAACATTCATGGTAAAGATATAGGAGTTTGTGAAGTAAGAAAGTTTCATTACTGTTAGAGGCATAGTGACTTAACTTCACAGTCATGTTGATCCATTACTTTAACAACAAACAGAACACAACTACAAAAATAACAAATAACAATTCTATATCAGTGCTATAAACATGACAACAAAACCAACATGTATATACAGACATTATAGGGCAAATATCTCCACAGTCAATATTCTTAAACAGATAAAAATAAACAAAATACGATGGGAATGTATCAAAGGTTGTAAATACAATCAGTAACAAAGTAAACAAACATATCTTCTTGCCTTTACCTGCAAGAACAAGAGCACCTGTCCATTACTTTTAGTGCAGAACAAAGAAACCTAACTTCAGGAGGAAATTTCTGATAGACTGTCTAGCCCATCACTTTCTCCCTAGCTTTAGGTTAGGACAAAGAATTCTTTATTCCAGGAGGAAATTTCTGATAGACTGTCTAGCCCATCACTTTCTCCCTAGCTTTAGGTTAGGACAAAGAATTCTTCATTCCAGGAGGAAATTCTCGTCTGTCTTATAATGTAATGTCTTACTGTGTTACCATAACACACAAATAGATACAGACTAAGCTATGGAAACTAATGATAGTATTGCATCATAATTGATTTAACGATGTCAAAATGTATTTAAATGCCTAAATGAGAAAATTAAAAACAAATGTCATGTGAATTATGTCTAGATATTACATAGCATTCAACTGGTACATTCAAACGATTGGCGTCTGTATAACAATCATATTCCATTCGTAAAATTTTCATTTACAAACAAATCCTGTGTCAGTGACACCGACATTGAAATGATGGGAAAATGTGACCCTTAATCTCAACTTCCCTTTCATAACTGGCTTCAAAATCCAAAGACACAGATTTTCAAAAAAAAAAAAAAAAAATACAGAAGATCTTATATAAGTATATATCTATACGCAATTGTATCAAATTTATAAAGTGTTATTACCAAGTCTGGCAACTTTTTTGTGACTTGCAGTGCTACATTTTTTGATAATATCTGTGTGCTGGTTATCATCCTGGGGATGACAGAGCTAGATTTCCTTAAATGGAAGTGTGTAAAGTTCTCTGACCAATCAAGTACAATAATCATCCCTGGGTTTATTCTTCTTGAATTTTTTCAAGATTCTCTTCGTTAAAATTTTGTTTACACATATTTTCCCCCATTCCATAAAGTTCTGTTTCAGTAGTGCTTAGGAGTCAGTATCCTTTAGTTCTTTATTTCACTTTCCTGAATTTCTTTGTATCATTTTGAAAATCAATAAATAAGGTAACGAATTAGATAGGATATTTGATCAAATATAGTGTAAGTCAAGGAAGCAGCTAACGTTTAGCCAACTGATCATCATTATTACAACGTTTATCACCAATATGATTTCATTGCTGTAAGTCATCAAAGTCTGAAAAATCTTTACTTAACTTTTAGCTCATTCCAGCTAAACTTCCTAGAACAACTCAACTGTCATGAAATTCTAAGAAGCAAGATAAATTGATAAATGATCAAAATGATAAACTTCACAAAGTTGAAGAGAGTTTAACCCATATTAAGACTGCTTACCATGATACTAAGTGGGAGAGGTTTGAAGTCTGACATTAAGATTGCTTACCATGACACAAAGTGGGAGAGATTTTAAGTCTGACATTAAGATTGTTTATCATGATACTAAGTGGGAGAGATTTAAAGTCTGACTTTAAGATTGCTTTCCATGACACAAAGTGGGACAGATTTTAAGTCTGACATAAAGATTGCTTACCATGACACTAAGTGGGACAGATTTTAAGTCTGACATTAAGATTGTTTATCATGATACTAAGTGAGAGAGATTTTGAGTTTGACATAAAGATTGCTTACCATGACACTAAGTGGGACAGATTTTAAGTCTGACTTTAAGATTGCTTACCATGATACTAAGTGGGAGAGATTTTAAGTCTGACATTAAGATTGCTTACCATGATACTAAGTGGGACAGATTTTAAGTCTGACATTAAGACTGCTTACCATGACACTAAGTGGGACAGATTTTAAGTCTGACTTTAAGATTAAGATTGCTTACCATGACACTAAGTGGGACAGATTTTAAATCTGACATTAAGATTGTTTATCATGATACTAAGTGGGAGAGATTTTAAGTCTGACTTAAAGATTGCTTACCATGATACTAAGTGGGACAGATTTTAAGTCTGACATTAAGATTGCTTATCATGACACTAAGTGGGACAGATTTTAAATCTGACATTAAGATTGTTTATCATGATACTAAGTGAGAGAGATTTTGAGTTTGACATAAAGATTGCTTACCATGACACTAAGTGGGACAGATTTTAAGTCTGACATTAAGATTGCTTACCATGACACTAAATGGGACAGATTTTAAGTCTGACTTTAAGATTGCTGACCATGATACTAAGTGGGAGAGATTTTAAGTCTGACATTAAGACATTAAGATTGCTTACCATGATACTAAGTGGGACAGATTTTAAGTCTGACATTAAGACTGCTTACCATGACACTAAGTGGGACAGATTTACTCTCATAATGCTCTGGTACAGAACAATCCGCTGGTAAACTCTTGCACTCATACATAACTTTCAATTCAGGCAATATTACAAGAATATTGGTTTTTATCATTCATGACAATGGCATGATTTTAAACTAGGGCAAGATATCTAAAAAAAAAACTATGTTTCTATGATAGAAAACCAATAAATAAACATGAAAAACTACCGTGGTCAAATGTATCATTTGTGTCTTTCACTATGTACCTGATTATTCCACAAAACCTGATAAATCTGTACTGAATGATTTTTTACTCTACATAAAACTGTGAATAATCCAGTCATCTAACCATAAAAACATAACAATGAACGCCTACATCAACTTGGAATAAAAGTCACTGGATTATTAACTAAAATATGGGGTAACTGGATTGTCATCTTGGATTGAAGGAAACCGGATTATCTACTGGGAACTAACATGATTGGATTATCTACTGGGAACTAACATGATTGGATTATCTACTGGGAACTAACATGGCTGGATTATCTACTGGGGACTAAGATGGCTGGATTATGTACTGGGAACTAACATGACTGGATTATCTACTGGGACCTAAGATGGCTGGATTATCTACTGGGGACTAAGATGGCTGGATTATCTACTGGGGACTAAGATGGCTGGATTATGTACTGAGAACTAACATGATTGGATTATCTACTGGGAACTAACATGATTGGATTATCTACTGGGAACTAACATGATTGGATTATCTACTGGGAACTAAGATGGCTGGATTATCTACTGGGAACTAAGATGGCTGGATTATCTACTGGGAACTGAAATGGCTGGATTATCTACTGGGAACTAAGATGGCTGGATTATATTCTGGGAACTAACATGATTGGATTATCTACTGGGAACTAACATGATTGGATTATCTACTGGGAACTAAGATGGCTGGATTATCTACTGGGAACTAAGATGGCTGGATTATATTCTGGGAATTAACATGATTGGATTATCTACTGGGAACTAACATGATTGGATTATCTACTGGGAACTAAGATGGCTGGATTATCTACTGGGAACTGAAATGGCTGGATTATCTACTGGGAACTAAGATGGCTGGATTATATTCTGGGAACTAACATGATTGGATTATCTACTGGGAACTAACATGATTGGATTATCTACTGGGAACTAAGATGGCTGGATTATCTACTGGGAACTAAGATGGCTGGATTATATTCTGGGAACTAACATGATTGGATTATCTACTGGGAACTAACATGATTGGATTATCTACTGGGAACTAACATGATTGGATTATCTACTGGGAACTAACATGATTGGATTATCTACTGGGGACTAAGATGGCTGGATTATCTACTGGGAACTAAGATGGCTGGTTTATCTACTGGGAACTAACATGATTGGATTATCTACTGGGAACTAACATGATTGGATTATCTACTGGGAACTAACATGATTGGATTATCTACTGGGAACTAACATGATTGGATTATCTACTGGGGACTAAGATGGCTGGATTATCTACTGGGAACTAAGATGGCTGGTTTATCTACTGGGAACTGAAATGGCTGGATTATCTACTGGGGACTAAATGTGGCTGCATTACTTGTTTGGAACTAAGATGGCTGGATTATCTACAGCGAAAAAGGTGACTGGATTATCTATTGGAATCTTTGATAGCTAGATTATCTAGTGTGAAATAAGATGGCTAGATTATTTACAGTGAATTTTTGTGTCTGGACAACCTACCAGGAACTAAGATGACCAGATTATTCCATTCATGAAGTGACTGCATAAATGCATACACTTAAAGTGGCTGGATTATTTCAGTAAAGAAGTGAGTGGATTATCAACTGTGAACAAAGTCGACTGGTTTATTCCAGTAGTAAAGTGACTGAACTATCAAAGCTCCACTATATTCATTATATAAACAAACATATGAACATCAAATTTGAGACAAACTGAATCTATCTTTGGCATGATCACACGTGTTGATAAGAGTGTTGTAACAGTCAATCACACAATGATTCCTACAGACACTTGCTAACAAGTGCGGTATCCCACAGCTTTGTATATTTCTTTCTTGTATTTGTCCACTTGTGTGTTGATGTCAGAGTCTCCAACCTGTCCATCCTCATACCTGAAAAATACACACAATGATAGTATCTTTACTATGACTGTAAAATCTCTCAACACTAAACACTGATATCAAAGAACTTTGGATAGTTGCACAGAGGTTTTCATAGGATGCAGAATAATTTTTTTAAATTCTTAGTGCAAACGTAACATCAGGTACGGAAACTGGTGATGAATTAATGTCAAACCTCCAACTGTGAAAAGAACAAAAACAAAACTGATCAAAACAAAAACAAAAGAAACCAACAAGATACTTACACAAAGAAGAAACGTGTGCAAACATGGTCACTTGATGGAGACACCCAGATATTTCCAGATTTCTTCAGATTTGGTGCAGTGATCACTACAAAATTTGAATATCATGAACCATGTCAAGTTCAAATAATCATATTGTTCCAGAAACATAACTAGCAGAAACCAAGCTGTATTTTCTCAATCTTTAAGCAATGGATTGAAAGCCACGAGGAACCAAACTGCTGTTTGATAAACCAGGATAAATTCCTTTTTCCTCATTTGTTCATTAAAATATATAGTATTAAGTACACAACTGATGCAAAAGCAATGTTAGTACAACTTCTTATGCATTCAGATAAGTCAGAAAACAAAACAGTCAGTCAACATCTGGATTTTCTTTAAGGCCATGAAAAAATTAAACATGATCTCCCCTTTGTGAAATACAAGCACCATACACAACATATTGACATACTCTGATAGTCATGAATGGAAAATTGTGTGCAATCAAAGACATATTGATTAAATAAAGTCTTTAACAATCTTAACTTAATTCACTCAACAGTAACACAAGGACTTTAAGGCTGAAAGGTACCTACCTTCACACAGTGCTATACAGGTTATGTTATTGCTGGACAGAAACCGTGATTTACTCTAAAAAAAAAAAAAATAATAATAACAATCATCCAGATATCAACAATACAATAATATCCTCTACTTACATGTACAATATAAATTTTTATTTATTTTACAATCAAATTATCTCTATCACAAAATGTCCTTAAGTAGTTCTTGCTCATTACCATGGATTCTTGAGCCAGAAAGTAAGCATTTAAATTTGTCCATGGTATTTGGGCACATGTCTGTTCCAAGTTTTATTCAAATCTGATGGAAAATAGAGTAGACACGCTTGTGATAAAACATTCTGAAGTCAGTGACCTTGACCTTGGAACAACAAACAGATAAACAAGTTGAAAGTTTTTATATACTGGATAAATATGAACTCATCAGATATTTATCAAATATTAAAATTGAAATAAGATATTGTCAAACAGATTTACAGTAAATCTGGTATTGACCTAATGTGTACTTGATGTAGAGATGTGGGAAAAAACATATCATAGTGGGCCATAAAAAGTCATACAAACCAATTCAATGATGTTTGTTAATGACTTTTTAGGTCCTCACAGGCAGTAATGGCACTTATAAACTACCTTTGATTGATCTGACTTCACTTTGTGACCTCCATATCCCATCCTAGAGTAGCCAAAGGAGACATTGGCACAAGGACTCAGGTAGACACCTTTACCATAAGCTGCTCCGTTCACTTGTTTACTGGTCCCAGATGCCACAATCAGTCCTTCACGTATAATTGAATGCCAGTTTTCTATACCAGAACCACTACAAAGATAAGTTTCTATAGTCAACTCAGCACAAATATCTATTCTACAGTCAACTCAGCACAAATATCTAGTCTACAGTCAACTCAACACAAATGTTTAGCCTACAGTAAACTCAGCACAAATGTTTAGTCTTCAGTAAACTCAACACAAATGTTTAGTCTACAGTGAACTTAACACAAATATCTAGTCTACAGTAAACTCAACACAAATGTTTAGTCTACAGTGAACTTAACACAAATATCTATTCTACAGTCAACTCAGCACAAATATTTAGTCTACAGTGAACTCAACACAAATATTTAGTCTACAGTAAACTCAGCACAAATATTTAGTCTACAGTAAACTCAGCACAAATATTTAGTCTACAGTAAACTCAGCACAAATATTTAGTCTACAGTAAACTCAACACAAATATTTAGTCTACAGTAAACTCAGCACAAATATTTAGTCTACAGTCAACTCAACACAAATATCTATTCTACAGTCAACTCAGCACAAATATTTAGTCTACAGTAAACTCAGCACAAATATTTAGTCTACAGTAAACTCAACACAAATATTTAGTCTACAGTCAACTCAGCACAAATATTTAGTCTACAGTCAACTCAGCACAAATATTTAGTCTACAGTAAACTCAGCACAAATATTTAGTCTACAGTCAACTCAGCACAAATATTTAGTCTACAGTCAACTCAGCACAAATATTTAGTCTACAGTAAACTCAGCACAAATATTTAGTCTACAGTAAACTCAACACAAATATTTAGATACCAACATAAAGACATCTGTTCCTTCATAGAGTTGTTTTAAGTTTGCAATTGAGATGAAGCGTTATGGATATCTGTTAATTTTTGTGACAGTCTTTGTTCTTTATACCAAAAATAACATACAACCAAAATAACAAGAACAAGTCAAATAAGAGCTGAAGGCCTCAACTGTAATCTGAGTTGAAAAGTAGTTCTCATTAATGAACACAAAACAAAATAGTAAGTACAACAGAAATGCCTACTGTAAATAGGGCAACGATGATGTACCAAAAAGGATTCACCATATGCTTGGGAATCTGAAGAATTATAACATTACTCTAAAACATAAGATCTTGAATAGGAAAAAGCTTTAGATTTCATTCATAGTACTTTTACTGTTAGAGGTCTTAAATTTCATAAAACCTTAACACCATCTTGTGATTATAATTATACCTAAGCTTCCTCCCAAAAGTATACTACAACCATTGCAGCCTGAGTTAAATGGGTATAATTTCATCTCCTAGCTTTCTTTACCTCTTAGGCCCTAAGCACAAGTCGAGATCAAATGGGCCCTAAGGGCAGGTCAAGACCAAACAGGCTCTTAGGGCAGATCCAGATCAAATGGGCCCTAAGAGCAGGTCAAGATCAAACACGCCCTAAGGGCAGATCCAGATCAAATCGGCCCTATGTGCAGGTCAAGATCAAACACGCCCTAAGGGCAGATCCAGATGAAATTAGCCCTAAGGGCGGGTCAAGAACAAACAGGCCCTAAAGGCAGATCAAGATCAAATGGGCCCTAAGTGCAGGTCAAATTTAAACAGGCCCTAAGGGCAGATCAAGGTCAAATGGGCCCTAAGGGCGGGTCAAGACTTAACAGGCCCTAAGGGTAGATCAAAATCAAACAGGTCCTAAGGGTAGATCAAGGTCAAACAGGCCCTCTGAGAAGGTCAAGATGAAACCTACATACTAATTTTAAATATTTATACCAACTGAACCCCTTTTTAAATCTGACTCTATTGACCCTGATGAGACAACTATACAAGTCACAATTCCAGCAACACTTGAAAATAAGTTAAGTGTTATTTAAGTAATAAGTTTCTAATCATATCCTGAGTAATCTAGATGTAGACGCTGAGAAAAAAACAGATGGTTATACAATACCCCTAAACAAACACCGGCTGCAGGTGAACTTAGTAAACATTTAATGTTTTGGTGAAAACTCACTGGAATGCAAATGTACTGCCATGTTGTTGTTTGCACTCCCTGAAGACAGCTTCCTTGGCAGGAGGGCTACTTAGTAGAAGGAATTGATGTGGTGTTCTCATAAAAGATATTTGCTGAAAGAAACAAAACATATCTGTATTATCATGCTTCAAAATATTATTTCAAATAAATGTATTCATTAAAAGACAACATTTTAATCCATAAATCAACTGTCATTGACAGAAATGTTTGAAATGTGAAATGAAATGCTAAAATGGTACTTAATAAAATATTACAAAAGTCACTATATACAATGTTACAAAGTCACTAAATACAATGTTCCAGTAACACAAAGTCACTAAATACAATGTTCCAGTGACACAAAGTCACTAAATACTATGTTCCAGTGACACAAAGTCACTAAATACAATGTTCCAGTGACACAAAGTCACTAAATACAATGTAACAAAACCACTAAATTCTGTCTTTTTGCAGCATTGTTCGCACCTGTGAGCAGTAATTGATTTTTATTTAATTATTTTGTGAGAGGTTACTCTCATGAACAAATGAAAATAATAACCAATACCTTCTTAAAAAACAACACTACATTAAGAAACAAGATGTGTTTATGAAACACTATGCCCTTGGTTGCAACAATATTTTGAAGTGTACTGTGTGAGGAATGTGCTAATTACATACACACTTGGTTTTTAAACACTTACGTCTTTCATTATGGTAATGATTTTTTTTTTACTTTCAAATGTAGGTCAAAGGTCACAGTCAAGGTCACATGGTCAAACATTGTGGTACTACCAGAAACCCCTTGTCACAAGGAACACACATGACAAAAATGAAAACCCTACCTCTTACAGTACAATAGTTATGGGCAAGGTTAAAGTTGACTCGCACAAATATACACCACAAAAACAATATGCCACCGAACTTTTGATCCGGGGAGCATAAAAATGGATACAGAGTTACAAAGAGAATTAATACAATGATAAAGTCAATAAATACAACGTCCCAATGGCACTAAATACAATGTTCCAATGACACTAAATGCAATGTTCCAATGACACTAAGTACAATGTCCCAATGCCACTAAATACAATGTTCCAATGACACTAAATGCAATGTTCCAATGACACTAAATGCAATGTTCCAATGACACTAAATGCAATGTTCCAATGACACTAAATGCAATGTTCTAATGACACTAAATGCAATGTTCCAATGCCACTAAATACAATGTTCCAATGCCACTAAATACAATGTTCCAATGACACTAAATACAATGTTCCAATGACACTAAACACAATGTTCAAAAGTCAATAAATACAAGATTAATATGAAAATATGGCAAAATACAGCCCCAGTGAAACCATACCCCGATGTATGAAGTTCCAGTGATAAAAAGTGTAGGAGATAGAACCTCAAACATTATCACAATTACCTACTTTTGATACACAACAAACTGTCTCACCAAGGTGAGCCCTTGTCCCAAGTATTAAGATTCAGTGATGAATAGTGTAGAAGAAAGAGTCAAAACAACTTCTCTGATGTAGGTCAAAGGTCAAAATGTATGTCATGATAAGTTGGGTAGAAGATAGATCCCGAACAAAATATCATAAGAATGGATGGACACAATGTAAAAATTAAGTCTCCTCTGGTGGAGAACTAACAAATACAATGTTCCAGAATCAATAAATGCAATGTTCCAATGGTATTAATACAATTCATTAAATTCAGAATATTCGTATAATTAACAATACATAATTGCAATAGAAAATATAGCGAAAGTATTATAAAAAGTTACATAATCATTGTAGTTCTGAACAAGTGATGAAATTTCAGTGCACTCATATCAGTTGTCGAACTGAACATTTTTACTGCCACCCATTTCAAATAATGATATCAGTCTATCAGTTTTGTTTTTTAGAATGCTGTTTTGATAGCTTACTCACCATCTGATATTAGTACTTACCTTATCTGCTGGTAATTTTACAATATGTGACCTGTTACTTGTAATTATCCTGTAAAGAGAAATGGTTACCTATCAACCACCTGAACACACAGATAGGCTGATAACATAATTTACATCTGATAACATGTGATAAGAAATTTATTTTTAGGAATTTGAAGTTACCACTTGTTAATTATTTATAACTAATTGGTAACACTGACAGTGTAATCTTGTTTCACTTCCAGCTTCCTTATCCTTTATGGTAGAATGATCGCACATAATCTATTAGAATCCTGAGAGCACCTTGAGATTTTTCTATTATCAACAGTTCCATTTTGATCAAAGGCTGACAATATGTTTTGAGAGAGTTCCTATGTGAAAGAAAATCTAATTCATAAACTGAAAACATTCACTTATTGGTGTATATTTACTGACCGGAGGATCTTTTGAGAATTATTTACCACTGAACCCAGGATCCATGGGTGTTTCTAAGCAGTTAACAAATAAATACGTTTGCGATAAAAAAAACTTATTGGTGAAAATAATACATTAATATAAGCATTGAATTTGAAACTTACCACTGAAGTAGAGGATAGGAATATATGTTATTTTCGTCCAGTTTTTTCCTCATACTTGCAGCTCCAAGTCGTGTCATTTCTTGTACAGAGATAATACTATCTAGGGCATTTTCTACTTTTGTATAATCTTTACTCTGGATAAAAAACATACAAAAAATATTAAATTTAACATTAATTTCAAAAAAGAGATAATTTCATGTATATCATCTTGATCCTACTTTGTCTAAAATAACACAATAGTATCTGTAAAACTGATAAATGCTCCCCAAAAGTGACTTCATAGGACACAATATTTTAACAAAGGGCAATAATGATGTAATTAAGGGATTGCAGGCCCTGCATTTGGTATACAGCACATTCTATTTATATAACCAATTTATACCCTAAGTTCCATACTCCTAGATTTAATGCAAGCCAAGCTGTGATCATGACACAAAATTTTAACAAAGAGCAATAACTCTGTAATAATAGGCCATGGGCCCTGACTTTGCTACACTGCACAATGCTTTTGTATGACTGATGTATACATTACATTTGATATTCTAGTTTAAATGCAGACTAAAGTAATGTTCTAGACACCAAATTTTAACAAAGGGCAATAACTCTGTAATTGAGGAGATGCAGACCCTAACAATAGTACATTGCACATACTTTTTGAATGATGTATATACCATGTCTCATTATCCTACCTTAAATGCAAGCAAAGTTATGCCCCAGACAAGAAACTTTTAAAAATGGGCAATAACTCTGTAATTGAGAGGCCAAGGGCCCTAAAGTACAATGCACATTGTCTCAGTATAATCAATGTATCCACCAAGTTTCTTTATCCTATTTTCAATGCAAGCAAAGTTATAATCAGGACATGAAATTTTAATAAAAGGCTGTAACTCTGTAAATGAGGGGTCAAGGGCTTTGAATTTGGCATGCTGCACATCCCCTTAACATGACCAATGTACACACCAAGTTTCTGAATCCTTGCTTAACTGTGGGCAACGTTATGCATTGGACATGATAGGATGGATGGAAAGACAGATGGAAAGACACATGGACATGGCAGTGACTACAAGCTTCCCTGAAAATTATCAGGGAGCATAGGAATCAATATTTCATAATTGCAATGCAATCTTTGAGTTTCTACAGTCAAAATTTGCAAGCACAGTGCTACCATTTTGTGGAACCTACTAATATCTTTGCTTAACTTATTCCCATAAAGCAATTTACCAAATTCCATTCAATTTCACTTCTCTTCTATCCTGAAGACTTTGGCAAAGAATTGTATTCTGGACAAAACAAATCCTGATTTTCAAGGTCAATACTTGCAGGATAACACAATATTTGTTAATCACAATCGAGATTCTAAAATAATGTAGAATGGAAACCAAAATTCACCTTTGGATTAAAAGCTAGCTCCTTATTGTTTTTAGGATCCACAATGGTAGGATAGGGATCAAAGATCACAGCCTTTCTACCTGAGGCACATGCAGCTCTTGTCATGGCCACCAGCAAATCTACTACCTGTAACAAAAGCGATATAGGTACCAAATTTAAGATACACCTAGGACATCTTATCAACATATTTTCTTTAGTTATGAATTAATTGATGACCATTCACTGTTTGAAATTGTAAGAATCAGTCAAAAAGTTAAATGGTATTCAGTTACCCTCCAGGTAGCATCGATGTTTCAATAATTTCCAGGGAGTCTTAAAACACATAACAAATAAAGTAGCAACATTATCAACATCAATAAGTTTCTGTAATAATGGTTATCTGTTATATTGGTTATACTATGGCCTACAAGTTTCCTATATAGATACCTCTGCACCAGTTGCTATGTCCTCTGCAGCATCACTCATCACTCCGAGGGTTTGGAAAGCAAATACACACAGTTCTCGTGAACATACAGCTGGCTGAAACAAAAATCACCTTCTGTTGATACTTCACAGTGGTAAATATTCAAGTAGCATATAATTTTGCCATGATTGGAATCATTAAAGAAATAATGTACCCAACAAATATTTCTAAAGTTAATCAAATTTTCATAAATCCAAATAGACATCCTAGATATCCTTTTTCATTGAACAGCATGTTACCAGAACTTTGTCTGTGCAAAATAGGCCCAACCAAACCAACTGCAAAATATCAGCTCTGCAAAATTAAACAAGAGTGCCAATATCGCCCACCTGATTTTCAATGTTCAGCAAAAATAGAATTGGTGTTAATATCATGAATATATTGACATATACATCATTGGCATTCAAAATAGGAACATCCCATCAATTTTAACCTATTTCCACAACAAAGAACTTTTATTTCTCAATTCTAAACAGTGACAGTTATGACTGTGGACTACAGGTAAATATTGTTTCATTTCTTTTCTCAAAATCTGTCTAGTTTTGACCTAAAAGCACTTTATATCCTACTTCTCCAACTTTTGGATTACCAGAAGCAGTTTTATATAGATTTGAACAATTTGACCCTTGTGAAATTGAATATGGTACAAGGTAATTTCTTTTTGGCAAAATTTGTCAGACTTCATTTAGGAGACCTGACAGCAAAATCCATGCTTCTATGCCTTATGTTTAATCAGAAGAAGTAATTTTAAGGTTTTTTACCCTGTGATCTTGATTATGGGTAGAAGTTAAAAAAACATTTTTCAAAGATTATTGGGCATCATCCTAAGAACCTATCATCAAATACCATGCTTCTGTGTCTTTTGGTAGTCAGAAGAATTTATTGTAAGGTTTAATCTAATTTGGCCCCTACAACCTTGAATATGGGTCAAGGTCATTTCTTTATGCAAATGTTGTCAGTCTTCATCTTAAGGAACATATCAATCAAATACCATGACATTTGGTCTTTTGGATATAAAAAAGAAGTCGCTTAAATGGAAAAGTTGAACCCAGATGGCCAGCTGACAAAAGATGAGATAGACGGCCCCTTTGGGTTAGGTGAGCTCACAGCTATACATAATACAGCTGATATTTATACACATTGTTCTCATAGATTTACAGTTGGTTGTAACGCAAAATACCCAAATGTCTCATGACTATTAAACTGTTACACAAAAATATGCAAAAATCATATAAAATTGCTCTCTATATAAAGTGATATGATACTAATTTATCCACATTATCACCTCCAACACTAGACAATTGTTTACAATAAACAAATATATAGTAAAGCAACATAAACTGTTCTCAGCCATGCTGACATTGGTTTATGACATGTTCAAGACACAAAAATGATGAAGTTCAGCTGTGAGGACAAAAAAGTAATGTTTCAAAGTAAAATTAACAAAACAAAACTGTGTGGAAAATAATCTTCTTTCTACAGGAACAGTGACTGTTTACTTTCTGACCTACCATGATTTCACAAGTGAGAGATTTTGGTGAGACAGTACTACAGTAATCTTGGGTATAATCAAATGAGAAAAAATTCTGGATTATGTACAGAGATTTTCTTTCCATCTAGTAATGATTCACATAAACCTTTTACCTTCAAACCTGAAAACAAACTTAAGCAAGAACTTTTGGTGTGGAAACAATTTGTGAAGTTTAAGTAGAATATGCCCCACAATCACTGAAATCAGATAATACAGAAATGCCAATTTTCTATTTATAGTAACAGTGATTTTAACCTTTGACATTGATAACAGAAAGTGAATGATCTTCCTTTGAGAACTACATTCACACTGATATGACCTGGGTGGGGAAACACCAGGGAAAACAATTAATAGGTAGCTTTCACTTTCAGTTTCTCAGAAAAATTTATGTAGTACAAAAGATCCACCATGATCTGATGGTTGATATGCTGGTTCTGGGTGGTGGATTGTTAGGTTGATGTAAGATATAATGCTAAAATGATCTTGTCTGTTGTTTTTTATATCAGCCAGTTTTATTTTTAGAGTATCGTCTGCATATACACTGAGTAACAACTATAAAAAGCATGGATCATACAATAAATACCTTTAACATGGCACCATTCTGAAAGACATGTGGTTCATCACAGACGACACAGTACTCATTTAACGTAGGAATCCTCTGACGGATATATTGGAACAGCTGAAATAGAGACATAATCATCGTAAATAACCTGAGCCCATAACACAACTACATAAAGTTTACAAAATGAAGCTTAATACCCGTGATAAGTATGATATGTAGGTGAGATGACACCATATCAAATAAGAATGGGCAGAAGCACACTGGGGAGAGCTGTTTATTTTCTGATGTGTAGTAGTTTTAAATAGCAGGACTTTGTTTCAGAAATTCAATGTAGTCTTTGTTAAAATGTTTCTTTCCTTTATCAATTTTATTCAAAATCAAAAGTTGTTTTATTTTTACTAGAAACATTTGATGAGGTTGATATTTTAACCTGCTGTGTTTTCAAGCTTTCAGACTTTATACTTTTCCCAGCCTTAAAGCTTTAGACTAATGTGATTTTTACTGAATGTTAAGTTAACCTTCTAATTTAGTATGCTACACAGACCAGGAAAGGTCCATTTTCATGTCTCTGCCTTTCAGACCATCGTAAGTCAGGCCAACTTTCTGTGTTTTAGTATAACTACCTGTGCTAAGAATCCATGCTCCAGACTTGGAACACGTTTAGCATTCTTCCCCAGCCACGTGGATGATGGGACCAAAGTCAAATCAGTTGAACTTTGACCTTGAGAAGTTCCCTCCTTAGGACCTGATACTGTTGCCATAGAACTAATTTGTCGCCCAAAGCCTCGCTTTATTTTCTTCAGAATAGGAGGGTGTGATGTTTGCCTCATAGTGCTCTTGGCAGGGGGTCTACTTCCGGTCTTCTCAGACCCTTCTGGTCCCTTCTTTCTCCTGTTAAAACATATCAATCACGTTAATAATAGATAAATTCTAGAGAAACTACCCTGAATTTTTCATCTATTTTTTCACTTGTAAAAGAACTGTGGTTAGATTGCACGTATTTCAAATTTTTTCCTCACTCTATCATACAAACAATTACAGTATATTTTGTTTAATTAGTTTTTGACAATCTTTTATATTCAAAACTGGAAAGAATTGATAAAGAAGGAAATTGTACAATGACAAATAAGGATGTCTTCATTTGTGATAAAAGAAAGAAGTAGAGCAAGTACGGAAACAATTTCCAGTAAAACCTGTCTTGTTCAAAGGCCACCTGTGTATAAAGGGCACTTTTTTGGTTCCCTTTGTAATGTAATTCATAACCATGGAACTTTTACTTAAATATCACTTGTCTATAAAGGCCATTTTTCTCTGCTCCCTTAATTGGCCTTTATATACAGGTTAGACTGTACTTTGAAGGTGCAAATTTAAAGATGGTGTAGTCAACATTGCTTTGAATGGCAAGTAAAACAAACAGCTTTTTGACCAATATAAGAACAAGGTATAACTGCTGTAGTGCAGAGACTTAAGAAGTTACATAAACATGGTTAAAGAAAGGGTGATGAAATTAGAAACACCAATCTGATCATTTTTTATTAAATTACGGAAAGTTATATAAACTTACGTTTCTGAATTAATAAACAAATCATTTGTCGCCTTGAGGATGTCGCCTCGATTCAATAGGAGAGCATTTCTTGCCTGCTCAGCAGAGAAACCCATCTCCATGATACTGGCAAGGTCTCTGTCATCAACTGTGATTGGTGCAGAGGACAGAGTGGTGCTACAACATAAACACAAGCATGTTAACCCAAACACAAACATGAAAACATATTTACCTTGAATCAATATATTGACATCAACATGATTATGTTTTTTTCCCTAAGTTAATAATGCCATATGGACAAAGATGTTGGGAAAACTTATTGGTATCAGCTAACCTGGACCCATGCAACTGGGATGTTGTGTCATCTGGACTGGGATGTCAGGTACATTGTCAGGTAAACTTACCTGGATTAGGATGTCGGGTACACCTTACCTGGATTAGGATGTCGGGTATATCAGGTAAACTTACCTGGATTAGGATGTCGGGTACACCTTACCTGGATTAGGATGTCGGGTATATCTGGTAACCTTACCTGGATTAAGATGTCGGGTATATCAGGTAACCTTACCTGGATTAAGATATCGGGTATATCAGATAACCTTACCTGGATTAAGATATCGGGTATATCAGGTAACCTTACCTGGATTAAGATATCGGGTATATCAGGTAACCTTACCTGGATTAAGATATCGGGTATATCAGGTAACCTTACCTGGACTGGGATGTCAGGTACATTGTCAGGTAACCTTACCTGGATTAAGATATCGGGTATATCAGGTAACCTTACCTGGATTAAGATATCGGGTATATCAGGTAACCTTACCTGGATTAAGATGTCGGGTATATCAGGTAACCTTACCTGGATTAAGATGTCAGGTATATCAGGTAACCTTACCTGGATTAAGATGTCAGGTATATCAGGTAACCTTACCTGGATTAAGATGTCAGGTATATCAGGTAACCTTACCTGGATTAAGATGTCAGGTATATCAGGTAACCTTACCTGGATTAAGATGTCAGGTATATCAGGTAACCTTACCTGGATTAAGATGTCAGGTATATCAGGTAACCTTACCTGGATTAAGATGTCAGGTATATCAGGTAACCTTACCTGGATTAAGATGTCTGGTATATCAGGTAACCTTACCTGGATTAAGATGTCTGGTATATCAGGTAACCTTACCTGGATTAAGATATCGGGTATATCTGGTAACCTTACCTGGATTAAGATGTTGGGTATGTCAGGTAAACTTACCTGGACTGGGATGTCAGGTACATTGTCAGGTAACCTTACCTGGATTAAGATATCGGGTATATCAGGTAACCTTACCTGGATTAAGATGTCAGGTATATCAGGTAACCTTACATGGATTATGATGGCGGGTATATCAGGTAAACTTACCTGGACTGGGATGTCTCTAAGGATGACAAGCCGCTTGTTCTCTCATGGAAGTTGTGGATGGCTTCTAGTTTGTCATTACTGAGCTTTGGCCAATTCTCTGATAAATATGACTCAAGTATTCTGCAATTATAAATTTTAAAATGTTTACAGTCATGAAGATTAATACACTACAAGATTAATTAACATCTACACTAAACAGTAACCATTATTAATATGTTATTATATTTTGCTATTATTTTCTGTATGGAAAATAAGGGATGTTTACAGTAGTTTGGTGAGGTAACACAACAAGAGGCCCAATAGTCCTGCAGCATTCACCTGGTATATATTTAATTTTTCAAAATTCATTTTGATGAACTTAAAAAGTTAACAGCCAAATATCATGCCTCTAAGGCCTTTCAGATCATGTGAAGAAGTCATTTTAAAAGTTTTAACAAATTTGACCGCTTTGACCTTTAACATATGTCACTTGTGGCCAGGTGAGCAAATAGATAGTACAGAGACTGGAAAAAAACATGTTTCTTCTGATGTTGCTATATAATGACATACAATTACTACATCTACGTTTGGTTTGTTGTTTTCCAAACCTGGAAACAAATTTACATTTCAGTCTCCACCAACAATGACCTACTTTCTCATCTGGCTTCCGACTCCACACTTCTCTTTCTTTGAAGGTTGGAAAGCTTCTACTTTGGGTGGATCTGTAACGTATCAACAATCACATGACTAACAATTTTTCAGGTTTTAACCCAGAAAATAAAAAAAGAAAAAGAAAATATTATCACCATTAAAATGTATGAAAATACACCACTAAAAGCCGAAGGAACCCTCCAGCAGTGCCACATGCCTATTACCATAACTAAGGATAGAGTTACCTTATGACTGGATGTGCCCTGGTAAGACATTACAAACAGGTGTCTAAGGAATATTAAGGATGGTGTGTCCTACTATTTGATGTATCCAGGTATGATAACAAAGACAGGTGTATTAGGAATACTAAAGATGGTTTCTCCTAACAATAAGATGTGTCAAAGGAAGATGTTACACACAGGAGTGTTAAGACTACTAAGGATGGTTTGTCCTACTTACTAGGTGTGTCCAAGTATGACGTTAACGACAGGTGAATTCGGACCACTAAGGGTTCTTCACTGTTTAGTCCCCAGGCCTCTGCTATCTCTTTCTGTAAGATATATCTTTCATTAGTAGGCTTCTGAAGATATGTCAGTTCATTACACTTCAGATGCTTCCGATCCCTATCATGACATTATCTCCCAAAAAATAATTACATAATATTGACTTAAATATATGCAAATTTCAAGAGGTCAAACAAACCACATTCCGTTTTATTACTGGTATCACAATTTAATACAGTGTCCTTCAAAAGCTTCCAAGATTTATCGATAAAATTAAAACTTCTGTGTTTATTTAATATTTATCTTACTATTAATGTTCTAAACGTCAACTTACTGCTATAAATCCTGCCAACTTCACATTGAGTTCAATGTCAATTTCATCAATAGAATCCAACAACCTTTACAAATTTGTAAAGAAATACAGATTATTGCATGGTAACATAAGTAATGATGTTAAAGTATACCTAGAAGTCAAGAAATATTGTGTAAACTGACTAATGTAGACTAATACAGACTGAACAATTTCTACTGTACTAACTTATCAGTCGATTCTTAAAAGAAAAAAATAAATGATATGCCATAATATAAAACAAATTGAAAATCTTTCTTCCCTGACCAAGTCAAATGATCCTCACATAAAAAGGAGGGTCAGAAGGCTGTAACCAGTATTCTGATGCAGAGTAGTTTTCCAAGTAAGTCTACTGAGATGAGATCAGCAGGTTATAAGCACCATTATTGTTCTTCTCTTCAAATCAAGCCGTTATGGAATGCCTGGACTAACAAGCCAGATGACCTGCCATTTGTGAATTTAGTATTTGTCATTTGCCACATGTATCTGACTTTTCTAATACATTTACATATGCCCAGAACTTGTCCATCAATTGTCTATATACTCTGTGATAACCATGAGTAAATTTGGTTCTGTCAGTGCTTTCAGATTTCTATGTTTCTCCATAATGGAAGAGCAAGTTTCCAGACAGAGCATTGGTTGTGGGGTATTGCAACTGACCAATTTGAACATCTTCAGAACTGAGTTTTGAATAGGTTTTGTTTAAAGAATTATACTAAAAAAACAAAAACAAAACTATATCTACAAACATAAAGTTGAAACTGATTGAAATTTGAACTGAAAATTATTTAAGCATTAAAAAAGTTGGCCATTTGACAGATAACAAATGACAAGGACCAAATAGTAAATAAGTAAACCAGTCAGCATCAGAAAGTCTCTATATTGAGAAGGATAATTCTTCCAACACAAAAATCACTGAACAAATTAACTTATTGTAATCAAAATTTAATGTTTAACAAGTAGATAAACATGCACTTTAGTCCAGGGATTTTAAAAGCAATTGTATTCAAGTATAATTTTGGATGTCACTGCCTTCAAATGTTTCCTAAGAACATGGTATACAAAGTAAACATATAATTAAAATTCAAGGTACTGGATTTATTATGGCCAAAGTACCTGTTTTTTATCTAAACCTTAAGCATCGCCCTCCCAGTAGGTAAAATCCATTTATACAAATTTAAATCCTGAATCCCAAGTGACTTTGGTGAAATTCTGTTACGAATTATATTAACATTTGTTAGAATTTTACAACTGAACGATACTGTGGGTGTCAGAAGTTATTCTACCTATGGGGGGGGGGCACTATCTCCCAATACCTAGTGGGTCAGTGAGATACATTACCTGTAACTTAACACATTCTCTCCATGTATGTTGGTCAGTTTTTCCATGTCTGTGTCCAGTAATGGGTTAATGCCAACCTCCAATGACATCTCCTGTTGAAAGTAAACAAAAACAACCTGACATAAAACAAAATATATCTGTTTTATGATAGGCCTAGACCTACTGCAATACTATTTTCATCATATTCAGGTAAATATAATGCACAGTTTATCAAACAAGGTCAGAGAGTGGAATAGTATGGTATTGCAACCAGTTTTAATTAAGTCAAACGTGGCAAAAAGGCTATCTATATACCGATATGTAAGTGTACTGTATTTCCAATCCATGCCAAAATCAACAACACATGTGAGGGACATTATGATGATCCTTTGTATCAGTGTTCAAATTTCTATAACTCTTTTAGATATGAACATAAACCCACATACATGGTAAGGATCAAATTGTAAATATGCAGTGTGCGGATAGTAATAAAATAGTATATTTTCGGCATTCAAAGTGCCATACTCTTGCATATATTGATGGATGACACTGGGTGTCAAACTCATGTGAGGTCTAATTAATATGAACCAAGATACAAAATTTGAAGAACATTTGACTACAAATATGCAAGATATTGTGCAGAAAGTCATAAAACAGTATATTTTCGGCATTCAAAGTCCCATAACTCGTGCAGTCCTTTACACATTTCATCGATTTGCAAGCCCATTTGGAAGCGAAAATGGACAGACAGATGGACAGATGGACAAGTAGATTATTATATGGCATCTACATCTCGATAACATTTCAGTGATATGTGGTATTATCTAGTACAGCACTCACCTCTTCATCATAATAGTCATCCATATCTTCCTCCTGATTATCGTTATCAGAGTCACCAAAGTTTGAGTTCGCGTCCTCGTAATTTGATGTCCCCGATTCCATGCTGATTGTGCGCTGTACAAGGGTTGTCTGAAGGGTATTAGGACTTGGGCCTTCATAAATAGATTAGGTTACATTTAGAAATTTGATATAAATAATCAATAAGAATCTTACAAAGATCACAATTGGTCGAGCTTAAGAGATATAGCATACCCTACAATGGCTTGGTGACTGTCAGACTCATAATAACATACAAGAGATCCTAGAGGGATCTAGGCACCCATTGTTTGATCTTTATATGCTCTTTACAGTTGGATCTTTTCCCTTCTTTTCTCTTCTCTTTTCTGTTTTTGCTCTTAATGATAAGACATTAAACATTCCTTTGTAGAAATAGCAAATCCAAACTGGCCACTTGTAAGCCATTTTGTTTCTTCTAATCAGTTCCAAAATCAAATGGGCACAAGGAGACACCAAAAGCAACATACGTATGAAATTTGAGAGATATTCATTCAGTACTTCTTACGAAATAGCAATAACAATCTTTACTAAACAAAATCCAAGATGGCAGCCTGTCGCCATTTTGTTTTTCTAATCAGTCCCAAAATTACATGGGCACATCTAGAGACCAAGGGCTACCTGTCAGCCATTTTGTTTTCTTGATCAGGTCACAAATTAAATGGGCACAACTAGGACCAATGGGAACCTACATATGCAATTTTAGAAAGATCCATCCAGTACTTCTCTAGAAATATTAATAACATGATTAGTTTACGGATGGAGAGACGACAGATGGACGCACAATAGACCTCAGACTGATGATGGTTGGCTGAAAACGTCAGTTGGTATTCTAAATACCTAATTACTCTCTTACAGTATATAGAGGGTAAGTATTTTGATACTTTTGACATACCTGTATAACCAACACCATGAATACATACCTGTACTATTGACACATTCAGAAATAATAGCTGGTATAGCATTGTTGCTGATCACGGGATTATTTAAATCACCATCTCTATAGATAAATGTGTTTTCTGAAAAATGATATCATTAAAGTCAATACACTTGAAGGGAAAAATAAAATATATATATAAAAAGTAATCATACAACCTAGACAGCTTATCCCCGCTCACCCAATGCCAGCCAATGACACTATCCCCGCTCACCCAATGCCAGCCAATGACACTATCCCCGCTCACCCAATGCCAGCCAATGACACTGACATCTGATCAGTGCAATTCGTAGAATTTTGGCTTCATAAAGTCATAACAAAATATTTTTACCATTTCATAGAAATAAGATTTGACCTCCTTTTATTTGAACACTTTGACCCTTAATCCAAAAGGTCAACTAACTTCTTGTTTGATTTTGTCCCGCTTCAGGCTTAATAAAAGACTGTAATACACAATGTATTGAAAAAGTACAGAACTATGTCAATCAAGCATAAAGTAGAGATCAGAATTTGACAACATAACATTCCTTAAAACATCAACCATGTATCAATTTGGTTGATTTATCACTTAATATTACTGTAAATGTATTTCAAAATTGACCTAAATCATTCTTCTTAACCAGATAAGGAGATATCTTGGCTTTGCTGAAGTGAGTTAATAAGCATTGCTAACACAAAACTCAACAAACTTCTAATTATACATCTCAGTTGATTGATGTCATTCATTCAGGCCCCAGTTATTCAAAGGTTCATTAATGTAGCCAATGATTAGTTGATTTTCTTAACACAAAAAAATATAATTCAATTTAATGCAGTTGGTCCATAAAATGCTTTGCAGATGGTTCACTACCCTTTGTAAGTCCATGCAAGCAACAAAACAGACAATCAATCCGGAGATATACATTTCACAAAATAAGAAGATATCAAACAAAATTTAATACAAATCTATATACCATGCTTAATAACAAAACATACCTGGGTATTCATCTGATGTTTCAATGGAAAACTCGCACAAATCATCATTTTTGTTCAGCGTGAATGTAAGGGATGTTCCTACTATTTCAAAATCTGCAAGATCAACAAGAGAATATAGGCATGTTAACAAAGTCATAATTCAAATTTAAAACTATGAACAAAAATATTTATAGGGATATTTAGAATAGTACAAGGATAATATGATTATGTTTTCCTGAGTGTAAGCACCAACTGCTTCATTGACAACACCTGACAGGTAAATCTTGTTTGTTTGCCAGCTTTATCATCCAGTCAACAGTGTGAGTCATTTTGAGGAAGGATCATCTCTTAGTAATTCACTGGTGGCTACCCAGTTGAACAGCATACAGGAGGCCAATCACATGCTATCCTCAGTCATCAGAGCAAAGTGTTTTGACTCAGGACACAGCCACAACAGAATATATTTTATCTTTCAGTCACATAAGATTTGATTTCTCCTTATCACCACTGTGCTAAATGACAAGCAGGCCATCAGCTTTGATTGGTTTTGATACATAAACGATACAAATTTCTTTGAAATTCCTAATTTCAGTGCTACAAACACAATAATCTGTATGCTTATTTTCCCACCTATCTTGTGTATCAGCACTTTCTCCCTTAAAACAAAATGAATTTCCATTTGGCAGAAATGGAATTTCATCTAGTTTTCATTGTTCTTAATAATAATTAAGAAACTTTGTCTGTTAATTTAAGTCAAGCATAAAAAATGCTTGCCTTAGTTACTTTACAGTACTTTGTGATGTCATCAAGAACAAACAAGACAATAATGAAAATACCAAATCATAGCTTGATACTGTCACATTGCATAACTTGGTGAACCCATACTCCAGATACAAAATTTCAATGACTAGTAGTGTAAGAGATAATGGACAGACTTTTTTTTTAATGTAGGTCAAGAGTCAAAATATAGGTCAAAATGACATACTATTGATACATGACACATCGCTCACCTGGGTGAACATTTACCCAAAGTATGAAGTTCTACTGACTAGCAACTCCTCAAAAGTAAACCCATGCCCCAATTGTATGTTCCAGTGACATGAAGTGTAGAAGCTAGAGCCAAGACAAAATTTTCTCTTGATGTAGGTCAATGGTCAAAATGAAAGTAAATGCAGCCAAATTTCGAAACATGACAATTGAACCTTGATGTTAATAAAATATCTATGTTTAAATATGCAGATCAACACTAAACTAAATTTCATACAGTTTCAATTATACTCTAATCTGTATTAAACAGCCACTGTTGGGAAATTAAGAAAGTGGCCTTTATAGAGAGGTGGCCTCTTAATTGAGGTTCCTTATTTTCGAACCCAAGTTGTGGCAATTTGCACATTGATATTTGAATACAGTTTAATAATAAGATATAAAACATCATCTGTTATCATTTATTATCTTGTTAGCAAGTAATTTGAAGACAGACCAATCTTTATTTTATGACACAACTATAAATACAAAAGAACAAAATTGAAAGGAAGGCATGTACAAGTTTTAATGAAGCTATTGAAAAAAAGAACGGATGTCCGATTGCTTCGAACGGCTATCAATACATTCATTATCTATATCTTCATGTCCTGATTTATGTCTTTTTCTTTTCCTTTCACCGGACACATTATTTTCTATCTCCTCTAAAATTTCAGCTTTTCTTTTTAATATTTGGAGAACTTGCATCCTGCCAACACCGAGGTCTTCAGCAATGGCCCGTGCACAGTCTCAAGCATCGAAAGTACATTGTAGCGCTCTTCAAGAGTTTAAGTTTTTTGTTTGCTGCTCATATTTCGAAGTGATTTGCCACAATAGTGATAATATGCCTGTACTGTGTATACCAGTGACGTAAATGAAATCAAACTCAATATAAAATGCATAGAGAATTGTGTTTACATGCCATCAGCTGTTTTCTTTGTAGGAATTGCATGTGGCGAGAAAACGTGATTCGCAGTCAAGAAAGCTTGTCAAATGACTCGTGGTCAAAACGGCCATTTAAACGAGGTTCCATCAGTTTGGGGACGAAAAGGGTGGCCGCTGGCCGCGTAAGACAGGTGGCCATTAAATCAGGTATCGTTAATGAGCAAAAACGATTGGGAGGGTCTGAAAACGGTCGTTATAATCAGGTGGCCGTCTAACTAAGGTGGCTGTTATGACAGGTTAGACTGTATTTGTAAAGTATTTTAATATATTGAAGAAGGTGAGGGCATGAAATGTTTAGGTATTCCATTTTTCTATCCGTTCATCATGATGCAGTGCTCAGAGTGTTATATATTACTTCAAGGTAAAATTTGTTAGAGATAAAAAGACCACATACACAAAAAAAAAATCAGCATTACCTCAATAAAAGCGTCTTAACATCAATCTTAAACCTCTAATGATAGCATGTATACCAATATCTTTAGAAGCTCTTCAAAATTTTACATGGAAAACTTTAAAAGTGAGCTTTGATGTGAAGAACTGTTCAGTTCAAAGCATGGTAAAATTCACAAAAGTATATAAATGTCCTTAAACTTACCCCAAAAAATTGATTGTTTAGGAAGCAGATGCCAGGGGAACTACATCAGTTTATGGTTGCTTGCAACTGATGAACTAAAAATGACTTTTCAAAAAAACTTATCAAAACATTCCCCAAAATATATCCATGACTACCATGATAGTCCAGGTATGAGTATCAAATACTGGGTAATTATATTCTTCAAAGTCATTTTCCGAATATTTGTATGTATCTAACATGAAATGGAAAAATACTACAATCAAAATATGATGTCCGTAAAATTTTGTACATTGTCATAATAATTGAAAACCCTACAGAGCTTATGGTAAACAATGTAAGATAAAGGCTAATTTTCATTTTCAGTATATTTTACTTTGCTAATATCATGTAAAACATGTCTGTTCAGTTGGTGATTAAATTTAAGAGGTTATTTACGGTGACTGATGGTAAAAACACTGCAAGGAAGAACAACTTCCACAACTTTCCCACCTGCTCAATTGATGCAGATTGCCTTACAGAATTCAAGTCATTTACTAAATCAATCACCAAATGTGATATACTTAGTATGTGTCATCAGCAAAAAAGTGAATAGCAGAGTTCAAGCCTACTGGTATCGTGCCAATAATGTATAATAAAAACAGACTGGGGCCCCAAAACTGAGCCATGAGACACAAATGACTAGACCGGGACATGGTTAGAAGATGAACTGAGCCATGGGGCACTACTGACTAGGCTGGGACATAGCTGGATGATACACTGAGCCAAGGGACAATACTGACAGGACAGGGACATAGCTGGATGATAAACTGAGCCATGGGACACAACTGACAGGACAGGGACATAGTTGGATGATAAACTGAGCCATGGGGCACTACTGACAGGACAGAGGCATAGCTGGATGATAAACTGAGCCATGGGGCACTACTGACAGGACAGGGGCATAGCTGGATGATAAACTGAGCCATGGGGCACTACTGACAGGACAGGGACATAGCTGGATGATGAACTGAGCTATGAGACAGTACTGACAGGACAGGGACATTGTTGGATGATAAACTGAGCCATGGGGCACTACTGACAGGACAGGGGCATAGCTGGATGATAAACTGAGCCATGGGGCACTTCTGACAGGACAGGGACAGAGCTGGATGATGAACTGAGCTATGGGACACTACTGAGAGGACAGGGACATAGCTGGATTATGAACTGAGCTATAGGGCACTACTGACGGGATATGGACATAATTGGATGGTGAACTAAGCCAAGAGGCACTACTGACGGGACAGGGACATAGTTGGATGATAAACCTTTAAGTGAAACTGACACTAAGATTTTAGAACTCCATCAAATAATGGTGATTTAACTCTATTGAATGTTAGTCTCCATCTGTTTGTTTGTCTCCATTTGTTTGTTTTTCAATGTATCACAAATTCAAAAAAAAAGGTTATTAAGGTTCAGGCTGATTTTATCAAAATAAAATCTAATATATATATGCCCCACAATGGAGACATGTTTTAAAGATTTTTTTGTGACACTAGCTATTACAGTCAATCAGGAAGTTGTGAAAATGTCATCTGATAATTGTCCACTCAAAAAATAATTCACTGCTAGAATATTTAGAGAAGAGGGACACACATGGCACATTTGTTTGTATGTAATGCTTAGATATAGGAATGTAACTCTACCAAAGATATATTTCTTTTTAAAATTTGTCATCAGCTAGAGAAGAACCTGGGAGACTGTGTATACACGTGTTGTTCATGTTGTTAAAACAGTAATGTGACATGTTGGCATTTTCATTGTTTATGACCTTGTTATAATCAAATGTAGTTCCATTTAAATAATGTGACTGTTGGTGATTACATAGCCTTTTGACACTAAATAGTGATTTACAGAATTACAAGATTTATACAACTGATTGTAAAACTGATAAGCTTCGTCCATATCCAAAAGGGAAAATGATTTTTTCTAAGAAACTGTTGGTTCTATATTTAGAAATGATAGTATTCATAATGTGTTTGGACATTTTACATCATTACAAAAGATACTGACATTTACAATGAAATATGATAAATATATATAAAAGAAAACGTTCAACAGTGCATCTGCAGCCGCTCTGCATCCGGCTTTGCCCTGCACAACAGAACGCCTTATTCTTATAAAGCCCCTATTACTTTACTTTCACTTACTGTGAACTGGCCAATTTTCCTCTGCTATCAGTTGAATGGCAGTTTTGATGTCAACCTCGAATTTCTTTTGTCTAGCAGACATCTCTGGATCTTTGTGTGACCGAAGTATTTAGTGATTTGCATATAACGAAATATTACTCTGAAATGATGTTGTTTTGCTCATGTTGTGCAAGTCCGTTTATTTACTTCCTGTAATAACGTTAACGCACTGCGCGTGCGCGTTCCTTAAAATTCCACTTCCTTTAACTTTACCATTGTTGTTATTTCTAGCTCTCCAATTTATATTTGCAGTGAAGTTCTGGAGTTGCCTAAATCTCTTATTTCGATATAGATTGTGAAAAGATGAAGATGTAGTTGAGGTAAGACATTACAAGGTTTATAATTAACGAGAATTATACATGAGATGTACTCTTTCCAGACGATTTGTCATAAACGGAGATTTAAAAAAAAATTAAGGAAGTCGACGTTTGAACACAACACAGACATTGATTAGACAGAAAATGATTAAGCTTTTCGGTACTTCTGTTGTACATCAATGTGCATGCACATGCCCACCTTATATGATGGAATTCCTGGAAAGGACTTGCATTCCAATTGCACTGAGTTGTTGGAGGATTGTCGTTATAAAATGAAGTATACATGATGAGTGTTATATTGTGAAAGATTTGTCAAACACTGCGACACATTTCTTGTCTCTTTCAAGAGCCGAAAATAAGAAGCCGTATTCCTTCACATTGTTAGAGGTATATATCAAATTTTGGGCCAAACTGGGATTGTAGATATCTACATTTAGCTTGAAATGTCCTGGCATTTTTACCATCTTTTAAGATGTACGAACTGTAAATAGATACCTGCAACCTGGTTCATATGATCAGGAAATGAAACTGTTGTTGCCTTGGTGAAATGTTAACTCATATGTCACATGTGTTTCACCCCTGCAACCTCACTACATATCCAATTGTCACCATTATAAATGTCATGTTCAAATGATAATTAAGGAAGTGGCTAATAATTTCATTATAACAAATCTAGATATCAATATGAAGATACTGTGCACGGGCAATCTTCCCAACAACTTCTTGTCCTTGCAAAGGTTCTATATGTAATTCATTCTCAAAATTCTGGGTTAGTGATTGACTGTTATCCCAGAATTTTGAGGATTTTTATCATTGGGCCTTGTCAATCTAATGTGAGATAAAATGTTAACCAAATATTTTGTTGGTTCATAGAAAAAAAATTGGCATATACAACTTTAAAGTGGCTATTACCTTAGATTTTAACATCGGAAAATGGAGAATTCAGCTTATGAATAATAAAATATATCCATAATAAAGCGACACATGTGCCCATAACCTTCAAATTGGTTGTTTTTGGTTATTTTTCGGCGTCGGAACATTGTTTATCTTGACTATTGTTTATAAACATGTTCACACTCAGTTTATTACGAAGATAGCCGAGTGGGTCACATGGCTTGTTATATGACGGAAGTCATTTACTTCTGCCTCAAAGAAAAAATGGATTACGAAGAAAGTGTAAACAAACGTACATGTCTTATGTATGACACTTGCATTTGCATCTTTCTGTTAATTCTTGTTTGCGATAAACAATTCTATAGTGTTATAATATATCATTTTTAACAATCAATAGCGGAGGCATTGTGATGAAAAATGACCTCTGTAATTCGTTTTGTATTGGCTTAGCCATGCCCCACCGGCGTCGCTGTAACCCCTGGAAACTCGAGGACGAGTTATTTATGTAACCCTGGTAAAATAGAGAGAACTTCTCTTTAGCTCGATTGGTTCGATTCCTAGCGGAGGCATTGTGATGAAAAATGACCTCTGTTACAATAATATATCATTTTTAACAATCAATCTTAGTAATTCGTTTTGTATTGGCTTGTCATTCGAGAATTATCTATGTCAATCGTGGGCACTAAACTAGTGGGGCCCTAAAGGGGGTAATTACAATCGGAAAAGGAAAAACTCGGTGTGCAGAAATGCACAGGAATTGATACTTGTACATATTAATAGATATTGTTTACCATTCACTATATGTTTAATATAGTTGTTACTTATGTAAAATTGCTATGAAACAGTATAGGCTTTTATCTGGTACACCAAACCAAAAATATTCCCAAGATTTTATAACTTTGATTCACCTATGATTAGAATACATTGAGATTCATAATTGTGACATTTTCCTTTTCTGCATAATCATGATCATTTTAATGCTACAAATTTGTATAATTGACATATATCTAAGATATCAACTCTTTTTTTATCAGCAGATTTATGCTTTAGGTATAACTGCTAATGCCTTGTCTTTTTAAAGTTCTCAATGAAACTTAATAATGGAGGACAACAACAGACCCCCAAGAAAGGAAAGAAAAGGTGAAGAACCTAGCAAAAACCAAGAGGAAGCAGCAAAGAATTTGTGTACAAATCAGAACCAACAGACTGCTAACAAGAAAAATCCACAATCACCTGTCACAACTCAACAACAGAATTTGCCGTCTGTGAATGTATCACCTCTTTCCTCCTCTCCCTCTTCTGACACCAGTAGTTTGTCTTCCGGAAATGGAAGTGGCTCCAGTTCTAGCTTTCATCTTGAAGATGTTGCACACAACCAGTTTCTAAAATCAACAAGCGAAACCTCTTTATCCACTTCAACTACAACTGGTGCAACGCTGTCTGTGACTCATCCATCAGGAACATACACATTCTCAGATAACGAGAAACTACCAGGAACTGCTCACGGGCATGGTAATGCTCAGTACAACTGGCAATCTACAAAAACAACAGTGAAAGAAAGACTAGCATATCTTTTCAATACAGAAATTATGAGTGACATACATTTCTTGGTCGGAACCCCACCTAACCAACAAAAGATACCTGCTCATAAGTTTGTTCTTTCAGTTGGTAGTGCTGTTTTTGATGCACAGTTCAATGGACCAATGGCTACCAAAGATGACGTAATTGAAATTCCTGATGTAGAACCAGGTGCATTTCTAGCTTTACTAAAATTTCTGTATTCAGATGAAGTACAAATTTGTTCTGATACTGTGATGACAACCTTGTACACGGCCAAAAAATATGCTGTTCCGGCTTTGGAAAAAGCATGTGTAGAATTTCTGAAGCGTAACTTGAGTAGTGATAATGCATTTATGTTACTTACACAGGCAAGACTATTTGATGAGCCTCAACTAGCAGCACTTTGTTTAGAGACTATTGACAAAAACACTTCCGAGGCACTTGTAGCAGATGGCTTTACAGACATTGACAATGATACGCTCTGTGTAGTACTGGAGAGAGATACCTTAGGTATACGAGAATGTAAGTTGTTTGCTGCTGTGTGTCGTTGGGGGGAGGCAGAGTGTGCTAGAAGAAACATATCACCCACACCTGACAATCAAAGACTAGTTTTGGGGAGAGGTCTGAGGTTGATTCGATTTCCTCTGATGAGTGTGGAAGAGTTTGCTCAAGGTGCAGCTCAAGGGGGATTATTGGAAGACCGGGAAGTGGTCCAGTTATTTCTGTACTTCACAGTCAACCCTAAACCTCAGATAGCTTTCCTGGATAAGCCACGTTGCTGTCTGACTGGGAAGGAGCAGGTGGTGTCCCGCTTCTGTCAGATAGAGAGTCGCTGGGGATATAGTGGAACCAGTGACAGAATAAGGTAGGTATAAAATATTACAGTAATACAGTTTTCTGTCAGATAGAAAGTTGTATGGGATACAGTGGAAACAATGACAGAATTAGGTAGGTATAAAACAGTAAAGTAATACAGTGTGCTGTCAGATAGAAAGTTGTATGGGATACAGTGGAAACAATGACAGAATTAGGTAGGTATAAAACAGTAAAGTAATACAGTGTGCTGTCAGATAGAAAGTTGTATGGGATACAGTGGAAACAATGACAGAATTAGGTAGGTATAAAACAGTAAAGTAATACAGTGTGCTGTCAGATAGAAAGTTGTATGGGATACAGTGGAAACAATGACAGAATTAGGTAGGTATAAAACAGTAAAGTAATACAGTGTGCTGTCAGATAGAAAGTTGTATGGGATACGGTGGAAACAATGACAGAATTAGATAGGTATAAAACAGTAAAGTAATACAGTGTGCTGTCAGATAGAAAGTTGTATGGGATACAGTGGAAACAATGACAGAATCAGGTAGGTATAAAACAGTAAAGTAATACAGTGTGCTGTCAGATAGAAAGTTGTATGGGATACAGTGGAAACAATGACAGAATTAGGTAGGTATAAAACAGTAAAGTAATACAGTGTGCTGTCAGATAGAAAGTTGTATGGGATACAGTGGAAACAATGACAGAATTAGGTAGGTATAAAACAGTAAAGTAATACAGTGTGCTGTCAGATAGAAAGTTGTATGGGATACAGTGGAAACAATGACAGAATCAGGTAGGTATAAACTACTACAGTTATGCAGTGCTGTCATAGTTGCTGCTGATAAAGTACAGCCAGTGGCAGAATTAGGTACCTAAAACAATATAGTATGGAATACAAGGTCAAGTTCCAGCATCAGAATCAGCTATCACATAACAAGTAATTGTTGATTTTATGGGAAGTGATGAAACCTGTGACTACTGGTAATTTGAAGATGTACATAATTCTATTATATCATGTGTAGTCATTGAAAGTTATATAAAATGTTTCATGCACTAAGCTATTCATGTTTTTTCCCTCATTTTGGAAAAATAACACACCAAGATTTTAACAAGTTGTAGAGAAACATTCTGTTGTTGCCTCTAAATAATTCATTGTGCTGTACTTGTCTTCAGAAGTAGACACATTCTCATGTGTATATGAGATTATTTCAACAGTGTTGTTAATATGTGTATATATATTATATCAAGCTTTCTTACAGTATATCATTTTTATTTTGAAAATACAACATCTGAATAGGAATATTGTAATATTGTTTGTGTAAAAGGTCATTGATAATGTGTCTCTTTAAATTGCAGATTTATGGTGAATAGGAGGATTTTCGTTGTTGGGTTTTGTCTTTATGGAAGTATACATGGACCTCATGAATATGCAGTCAACATACAGGTATACCTTTAAAAATGTTTGAAAGTTACGTACAAAATCAACTTCTTTAAAACGACACATATCGCAGTAAGCTTACAATGTATTAAGTTGAATACAGTATACATTTACAGTGGCCTATCTCTCAAGTTTATGATGTATCTTATGGATAAGAGTAAATTAATCTTGAGAATATTTCCTAGGAAGGGTATTTTGACCTCATTAATAAATTGACAGAAGACAACAGTTTTGTGTTATCTTTGTTAAATTTGCTACACAAAATGTATATACATGCAATTAATGACTTGGTACTTTATAAAAATGTGTAAATATTTAGGGTGGGTTGAATTCAATGTAAAATTGAATTTGTATATTCTTCCAGGACTTTAAAAGTTAAATCCTGATTTGAATCTTGTAGATAATCCAGTCAGATACTGGAAAAGTGATGGGACAAAATGACTCCAGCTTCCAGTGTGACGGATCCAACTCCACCTTTCGTGTAATGTTCAAGGAACCAGTGGAGATCTTACCCAATACCAGTTATACTGCATGTGGTACTTTGAAGGTAAGGACTTAATCTGTTATTGTACAGTGTTCTTCATTTTAGAGAGGTAAAGTGTGGGACATAGCTCAGTCAGTATCAAACTTTGTAACCTATTGTGAAGATCCCATCACTTCACTGTAGTACCACTAACCACTACTTGGAGACCAAGTATCAAAATGACACTAATTGTTCTCAGGGCAATAAATCAAATACCTGGTAAATCACTTCATAGACATAAAGAACTGTAGGTAGTACATGTAAGGGTTGTAGGTAATACAGGTAAAAACTGTAGGTAATATAGGTAAGACCTGTAGCAGGTACATGTAAGAACTGGAGGCAGTACAGGTAAGGACTGTAGGTAATATAGGTAAGGACTGTAGCAGATACATGTAAGAACTGGAGGCAGTACAGGTAAGGACTGTAGGTAATATAGGTAAGGACTGTAGCAGATACATGTAAGAACTGGAGGCAGTACAGGTAAGGACTGTAGGTAATATAGGTAAGGACTGTAGCAGATACATGTAAGGACTGTAGGTAATATAGGTAAGGACTGTAGGTAATATAGGTAATAGACCTGTAGCAGGTACATGTAATGACTGTAGCAGGTACATGTAATGACTGTATCAGGTACATGTAATGACTGTAACAGGTACATGTAAGGACTGTAGCAGGTACATGTAATGACTGTAATAGGTACATGTAATGACTGTAGCAGGTACATGTAAAGACTGTAGCAGGTACATGTAATAACTGTAGCAGGTACATGTAATGACTGTAACAGGTACATGTAAGGACTGTAGCAGGTACATGTAATGACTGTAACAGGTACATGTAAGGACTGTAGCAGGTACATGTAATGACTGTAGCAGGTACATGTAATGACTGTAGCAGGCACATGTAAGGACTGTAACAGGTACATGTAAGGACTGTAGCAGGTACATGTAAGGTCTGTAGCAGGTACATTTAATGACTGTAACAGGTACATGTAAGGACTGTAACAGGTACATGTAATGACTGTAGCAGGTACATGTAATGACTGTAACAGGTACATGTGAGGACTGTAGCAGGTACATGTAAGGACTGTAACAGGTACATGTAAGGACTGTAACAGGTACATGTAAGGACTGTAGCGGGTACATGTAATGCCTGTAATAGGTACATGTAATGACTGTAGCAGGTACATGTAAGGACTGTAACAGGTACATGTAAGGACTGTAACAGGTACATGTAAGGACTGTAACAGGTACATGTAATGACTGTAGCAGGTACATGTAAGGACTGTAACAGGTACATGTAAGGACTGTAACAGGTACATGTAAGGACTGTAACAGGTACATGTAAGGACTGTAACAGGTACATGTAATGACTGTAATAGGTACATGTAATGACTGTAGCAGGTACATGTAAAGACTGTAGCAGGTACATGTAATGACTGTAACAGGTACATGTAAGGACTGTAACAGGTACATGTAAGGACTGTAACAGGTACATGTAAGGACTGTAACAGGTACATGTAAGGACTGTAGCAGGTACATGTAAGGACTGTAACAGGTACATGTAAGGACTGTAGCAGGTACATGTAAGGACTGTAGCAGGTACATTTAATGACTGTAACAGGTACATGTAATGACTGTAGCAGGTACATGTAATGACTGTAGCAGGTACATGTAATGACTGTAACAGGTACATGTAATGACTGTAGCAGGTACATGTAATGACTGTAGCAGGTACATGTAATGACTGTAACAGGTACATGTAAAGACTGTAGCAGGTACATGTAAAGACTGTAGAAGGTACATGTAATGACTGTAACAGGTACATGTAATGACTGTAGCAGGTACATGTAATGACTGTAGCAGGTACATGTAATGACTGTAACAGGTACATGTAAAGACTGTAGCAGGTACATGTAAAGACTGTAGAAGGTACATGTAATGACTGTAACAGGTACATGTAAAGACTGTAGAAGGTACATGTAATGACTGTAACAGGTACATGTAAGGACTGTAGCAGGTACATTTAATGATTGTAATAGGTACATGTAAGGACTGTAGCAGGTACATGTAATGACTGTAGCAGGTACATGTAAGGACTGTAGCAGGTACATGTAATGACTGTAGCAGGTACATGTAATGACTGTAAGCTTCATCTAAAGACAATGCACCATGAGTGTAAACATTGCACCTTGGTAAAGATTATCTGACTGTTGTCATCAAGCTGTCTGTCAGACCCCAGATTTCAATATTTTCATTTTATAAGATTTGACAGGAAAGTTGTTCTCTTAATTCAGTAAAGTTTCCTGATGAAAAGTATCTAAGTCATCCATATTAACAAAATAGTAGGTCAAGAATCTATCTCCATGGCATGAGCTGTTTAATTGTACAGTAGGGTTCAGTGCATGCTGAATAAAATAGAGACATTCATTTTTTTTCCACTGTGAACTGTAATATTGTGATTGTATTTTTTAGGGGCCGGATTCTTACTACGGTGCTAAGGGTCTGAGGAAAGTGACCCATGAATCAGTGTCCAGTGGTAAGGTCACCTTTCAGTTTACCTATGCAGCCGGCAACAACAATGGAACTTCTGTAGAAGATGGTCAGATCCCCGAGATCATCTTCTACACTTAGAGAGTGGACCAGACAGGTTGGTCTGATCCGTTAGGTAATATGAAACTCACCAACTCTTGGAGAGCGTACTACTGAGTATGTATATGTTTAGCAGGATATGTTTTATTGATAAAAAGTCAGAATATATTCTGGAACACAGAGAACTTGTAAAGGAATACCGGTATATCAAAGAGAAACTGGTTTTATGTGATATTTAAAGGCTATATGAGTACAAAAACATTTTTGAAAAGTCTGAAAACGGGAGTCAGACAATTCTTTGAAACATTCAGCAGATAGAGCTGAATAATTCTTAGTGAAATCTTTAACTAAAGCTCCAACAAGATTTTTTAAGTATAAGTTGGACAATTGGATAATTTGAAATGTTCATTAACATGAATTGTCAAATTCATTAAAACATAAAAACATTTGTCAGAATTTAAGCTGGGTATTTACAGTTCATGTAAGAGAACTTAAAATGACATAAATTCAGTAATTACATTTTAAAATACATGAAATATGAATAAGATTTAGGATAATTTATTTGATTTTTAGATTAAATACATTATACAACATTCTGTGTATGTGTATATATATATATATATATATATATATATATAGATAAACAAACTAGTAATCTTAAATATTACTAACCATTGAAATTGATGTACAATTTCATGTTATAAATGTATGAAGAGAGAATATTGAGAAACATAGGCGTTTGTTGATAAAAAGTTGAAATTAAGATTCAGATATTTGCAATGATGTAATATGACAGTGGACTTTGGTAAAATTTGGGACATGCTTGTCGGGAATATAGGTAACTGCAGGTAACACAAGTTTTTTGGTGGGATGAATATGTAAAGACAAGACAAAGGTAGGTAATGCTGTATAGATATATTTGATAGGAGGTTGTCAATATAAACCCTAGGTAGATGTAGGTAATGCATAAAGGTTTAGTTGGGTGTTGATTGAGTAGAAGTTGTATTCTAAATTTCCTATCAGAACATGATGGAACCAGTGTGGAAGATTATTGACAATAAACAATTTGTCTTTTGAAATCAGTAGATGTTCTGGTGTGACTTATTAATCAGGCATCACATTTGTCTTTATTGGCTTCATTTACATGTTAAATCCAAGTGTTTTCTGTACAATATACAGGACAATGTTTCCAACAACATTTTTTGTGTCAGATGACTACTAATTGCGATTACTTATTATCTGTCATGAAGCATCATAAGCCTTTAATTGGATTTCAGAGGAGAAATGGACTGGCCTCTGAAGTCCTGATGGTCAAGTGGCATCAAGTGCTAAATGCATTTTCAGCTACTTTTCGGAGTCCATTTGTTATATTTTGATAGAAACTAGAGGTAACCAACAACCTATTGTGAAAGTTAAGATCTTCATTAGGGGGCTAGGGAGGAGGACCACGAGTGGTTTCTGAGTTTAAAAGAACATACATTTTTTTAATTTCTCAGAAAGTGTCAGACTTGGATGAAGCACTCTGATATTTAATGTGGGACGGGGAGCAAAACTGCTTGTTTTGAGGTGTATCATAGACACTTAAAAACAAACAACAGTGTCTCTGGTTTATTATTTATTTCTCAGATGACTGTAAAGGCCACCTGACCTCTTGTTTATTAAAGCATGTCTTATTTTTCTTTTTTTGCAGAATATAAGTAATATTTTATTCTTACTCTTGTCCAGAAATACTTAAGCATGCAGCATAAAAATACATTTTGTTTTCCCTATAAGTAAAGCATGCAGCATAAAAATACATTTTGTTTTCCCTATAAGTAAAGCATGCAGCATAAAAATACATTTTGTTTTCCCTATAAGTAAACTAACATGTAACATTGTAGATATTGTAAGGTAAGCCGGAATATCTAAAAAAAGTTGATTCCTTTAACTTCTTTGTTATTACCTCCTGTATATGCATTTGACTTCCCTGAATTAATTTTGAGTAAGTCCATTGTTGCTCTAGTTACCACAGTATTAGTTATGGTAGTAGTCCTGACTAGCAGGTGTAATAGACAGTGACTTACACTTATTAAAGCTTTAAGTGACATTTGAGAAATTGTGTCACTGTATTTGAGACCAATTTTATCCAGTTAAAGGTTGTGTATCATTCAACGTGAATATTGCATTTTGCATAAATACATTTTTTTACAGTGAGATACAACCATACACTGCTAATCACTACCACTACCCCACAACCCTGCATCATTCATGACAAACTGTTACAGATAGAATCCATGTAATAACTTTTCTTAATATCAATGTTATAACACTCATGACAATATTTGTTATGACATATGTCATATGACTTAATAGAGCAAAGATTAGGTGTAGTTTCCCATTATTTCCATTATGAAATCATTTCTTCATGACGTCATAAGTATTTTGACGTCACCAAAGAGATAGAGTGTGAATATCACCAACTTGGAGATTGTTTCAGTCTTATAAAGTACTGTTTATTGAAAATAAATTTATTTAGAGAAATAGAATAAATTTTTGAAAAATGACCAGTTGATAGTAAGCAAGATAATCAATAGCAACAAGCTTTGGATATGTTGATTCATGTTGATTTTAACCGTCGACTGGTTTTGCCTAGAACTTGGGGCTTTTTCAGGACAGTACCTATACAGAGATTAGCTTTTGATTGAATATATACATGTTCATTATGTATGATGAGGTTAATGTTTTTACAAAATTCTTTATTAAGTTATAAAACATGTTTTCTCACCTATTTTGTCACAGGAATGATAACATTACATTTCAAAATGTGACGAAGTAGAATTCTAGATATACAGAATTAATGTATACATTTATTATGTGCGTGTTTAAATTGTATTAATGACTAGAAATAGTCATTCCTCATTTGTGCTGTTACATCCATTGTCTTTCATTGCGCCTAAATTTATTGCAACTAAATCTGAAATGTAATGTATCACCCAGCAGTTTATGGCTGTGTGTATGTGACAAAGAATTCTCCAAAATGTGTAACAATTGTGATATTACTAGACAATCGTTAGGTTGGAACTTAGGAGTCTACATTGACTGAATGTAGCATTAGTGTCTATTTTTGCATTTCTGACAATATCAAATGTTTTGATTACTATAGAACATGTTTATTATGATGTGTACCTTCTAAACTGTTCATCAATATGTTCCAGGCTCCTGATTACATATTATTGTTTGTTCTAAGATATTTGATTAAATTTTAACTCAAGTGCTTATTCGATAATTGTGACATGTTTTACTTTCCAGTGGTATTGTATAAGGAAAAATCTGCTGAGCATTCTTTATAAGATTTTGTAGTTTTTTTTAATTGATGAACATTTGAAAGGTACACATTTTAGATCAGTGGTAGCTTAATTTTGAAATATTTAAACTGAATTTTCTTCCTCATTATATATCAATATTCAGCATTTAAGTTTATTTCAGATAGCATTTATATGTGTATGAATGACAGTGCTCTTGTCTGTTCTATTAATCACTTAAATCTCTCTACCAGTTGAATGAGAGTTTGTGATATGTTTACCTGCCAACCTTGTCAAGTGGATAGCTTTGCAATAAATATGCTTTTTTTAATTATTTATTATTACATCAATGTTTGTTGTATATGTTTAGTTTATGAGGATAATCATACCCATTTATAAGGCATACATTGAATAGATATTTATATGTATTATCAGATATCATATGTAAATCAAGTAGGTAAACTGAAATATATGGTTTATTCATCACAGGTCATGCTAGAAAATCTTCACTTTTCACACTTCAGAACTCACAACTGGAATGAAATTAAACGTGGTAAAGTAATCTTCCTAATTCTGACACAAAATTCTTTTGAATAGTGATTAACAGAAAATCAATGGAGCTGATTCAATTTTCAGAGGTGTTTTTAAATCTGAACCTGGGTTGGATCTTCTCATCAGTATATATCCACTTTTCTTTAATACTTATAAGATATCTACATCATGCCAAGGAAGTAAGAGAATTCAGTTCAAATCTAATTGAACAGTGGGACACTCAGGAAAGGGAGTGAGAATTCAGTTCAAATTAGAGACACCCGAGAAAAGGAGATTCAGTTAAGATCTGGTGCGCTCATGCAAAATGATGACAATTCAGTTCAACTCGGGAGTAGGAATTCAGTTTCAATTTGGGACACTTGAGAAAAGGGGAGAGAATTCAGTTCAAATTTGGGGCATTCAAGAATGGAGAGAGAATTCAGTTCAAATTTGGGATACTCTCAAAAAGTGAGTAAGAATTCAGTTTCAATTATGAACACTTGAGAAAGGGGAAGAGAATTCAGTTCCAATATGGGACACTTGATAAATTCATTTCAAATTTGAGTTGCTCAAGAAAAATGGAGAGATAATTCGGTTCAAATTTGGCACACTGAAGAATGGAGAGAGAATTCTGTTCAAGTTTTGGACGCTCAAGAAAGGGGGATGGGGAAAGAATTCAGTTCAAATATGGAACAAAAAAGTCCCTGTTTTGATGTACCTTTATCTCTATGTGTCACACCTGTTGAACTGACTACTAAAGTGTCTTCATATCTGCACCATCTTGTCTTGTGGAAGAAGTATATTGAAAATGACTATAAAAGTGTAATACTTTGATATTATCTCAATCCAAGTTGTAAGAAACAAAGTGGTAAACTTGTTATTTCATATGTAAACATTCAGTCTTAATCTACCCTTGATAATCCAGAGAGATAAGTTACAGAATATGGAGGTGACGAAAGATATGCTCAGAACATACACCATTCAATTCTCAAACACATTGTATAATGCCAGGATTAATATGTTTGGTCTCTCTCCGACTGTAATGCTGTTTGTAATCTCAGTACTTTGTATAAGGATAGCATGCACACTGAGTCTTTGGATTATTTATGATACATATGTATTTTCTTACATTTGTATATAAGTTATCTTTGTTTTTCCTAGCTAAGGTTACTGGATTCCTTTTCAATTCTAAGAAATTCCAGGATTCAAAGCTTAAAATAATCATTTTTGATGATCATTTGTCATATACTTAAAGGTCAATTGAATTCTTTGATTGGCAATGTACACACCTACAAACGTATCAGCAATTTATATTTAAAAGTCTGCTCTTACTACAAAATATTATGTAAGGTAACATACCTCCTTAAGTATCAATATCCTATGACTTGTATCTGGTTAAGCATTTATTACCCTACATTATCTAACACTATTATTCTCATTAATTATTTACAAAGTTTAACAGACAAACAAAATAATGTCTAGATATGCAATTCAATTTTATCTAATGTTGAAAGAATTTATATTCTGATATATCCCATAATTCCATACTGGACTGACTACCAGGTATTTATGAATGCTCAATTATCCATACTGATGATGTGTTCTAGTCTCCTAGTGTTGAAAATATTGATATCATTGCATGGATGTTTCAGTTCACCATTAAAAAATGAAGGAATTTTGATTTGTTCTTATCTTTTTTACAATATTGTTTGTTTTGTATGTGGTGTCACTGGAATCCTCCAGTCATGCTTGTACATTAGACCTGTTGTAACAT